AAAACTGCCGCAGTATTCTTTGCTCGCTGACGAACCATCGAGGGGGGGGGAACCATTAAATTTTAAACCCTACCTCCCTGGTTGTGTGACGCGTTGCTTCATTGCGGGTTGACTTTTTTGGTGTTGGGTTTTCGTCGCCCCTCGTTTCCTGACTTTTTGAGGAATTGTAGAACGGGAGAATGCTCTGTTAGAGGCTTGGTTCACCCCTTGTGCTTCTGAAGCTCAGATTTGGAGTCTGTCTCTGAAATGCCCTTGGCTAGCAAGATGCAGGACAGATTCTTGGTCACTGGTTCCTGTAATGGCGCTTTCCCCTCCTCTTTGGTTTTTGAAAGAAGCAGCTGCTAGGGTTGTCGTGTGAGAAACACAACATTATACCTCAAGCTGTGTGTTCTCGTCACTTTCCTCTGTGCTTTGTGGCTGGAGGAGCTGCAGAGTGAGGGCTCCATTAGGTGTGGCAGAAAGTGGCAGCAATCCTGACATTATTAGGACATGGCTGTAAGGCTTGCAAGAATGGCACCACCTATTCACCGTGTGTGTGTGTGTGTGTGTGTGTGTGTGTGCGTGATGAATGTTTTAAGCATTGGCTCAAACCATGGTTATGTTTGAGTAATCAAAATCATCTCTCTGAAAGTCTTCCCATGTGGTAGAGCATCGTACAGTGGTACCTCGGGTTACAGGCGCTTCAGGTTACAGACTCCTCTAACCCAGAAATAGTACCTCAGGTTAAGAACTTTGCTTTAGGATGAGAACAGAAATCGTGCGGCAACAGCGGGAGGCCCCATTAGCTAAAGTGGCACCTCAGGTTAAGAACAGTTTCAGGTTAAAAACAGACCTCCAGAACGAATTAAGCTCTTAACCCAAGGTACCACTGTAAAAGCTTTTGGAGCGATGATGTTGATATACCCTGGTGCCACGTGGTGGACCTTTGTATGAAAAATGGTTTACAAATTGTTTTAAGAGGATGAATGATGCTACAGTCAAACCTTGGTTCCTAAACGGCTCCGTTTTGGAACATTTCAGCTCCTGAATTCTGAAAACCCAGAAGTAAACGCTCCAGTTTCTGAACTTTTTTGGAAGCCAAACGTCTGACGCGGCTTCTGCTTGAGTGCAAGAAGCTCTTGCAACCAATCGGAAGCTGTGCCTTGGTTGTTGAACGGTTCGGAAGCCAAATGGGCTTCTGGAATGGATTATGTTCGACAACCAAGGTTTGGCTGTGTATATTGATCCAAGCAGGCATTGGGAACACACACAGACACACACACGGGCAGTGGGCAAGGCTAGTGAACAAAAGGCCTGTCCAGTAACACACGAGAGCCGCTGGGGCTTGCTGGCTTCTCTGGACACCTGTGATAGTTCCGTTGGCAAGAAACACAAAAATACATGCAAGTATAAATACCCACCCCTGTTATCTTAGAGACTGAGATCATATGGCCTTTCCAATGACGTCGGACTCCTTTGGCTCTAGCTGGCATTAGCAACGGCCAGAAATGATTGGCGTTCGAAGCCCAGCACCATCTTGAAGGACACACTGTCCCCCATCCTGCTTAGAAACCGGGACGTTTGATGATGCAACATTAGGTCATGCAGAAAGATCCATGCCGTTGATATCCCATATAGTTGGGCTCCTTTGGTGGGGATTGAGTTACGGATTTGTGCTTTGCTTTTGTCATCCCGCGGAGAAGAAAAGAAAAACTCCCCGTGGGAAAGGGGCTCTTGGCTGTTCCTTCCATGGACGTCTACTCTGTCCACCATCTCTTTTCAGGCCTCTCTGACCCAAGGGGCAGTACCCCTTAGTCATCGGGGCATCCTCAGGAATAGATGTCCCATCAGCAAGCTGCCACATATGGCTTCCCTTGCTTCAGTTTTTTTTTATTCTGGAGCAAAGTCGCTGAAGAGCACCCAGTCTTGGCACGTTCTTCCTGCCAGCGTGGGCAAGCTGATGCAGCATTTAAGGGAGCGTCCATGAAAAGGGACTCCTCCTTTCCTGTCCTTTCTTCAGACGCCGAAGGACGCTCTGCAAGGGCAGGTTTCTGAGACGCAATGTACCCGGTGCAAAGGCACTGTTGTGTCTCCTCCCACGACCGCTGGTCCCAAGGTGTGTCTTGCGTCCCTTTGATCCTCAGAGCTCTTTCCTGTTCCCTGCAGCTTTGGCTTCTGTTCTCTGCAGACGCCAAACTCCCAGTGCCATATGCATGGAATTATTTTTTAAAAAAACACCAAGTCCTCTTATTCAGCCAGCAAAGCTCTTGTGTTTGTTCTCCTTTATTGCATGGAGTTGTGTTCGAAGAATGAATAACCGTGGAACGTGCTCAGCATGTGTGGACATCCCTCTGTGGACTATTGTGCCTTGAGCTTTGAAGAAATAATAGATCCAAATTACCACATTTTTTTGACGATAAGATGCCCCCTTTTGGGGGGGACTCAGTTTTAAGAGAATCGGGAGAGATGGCCCCATGTATAAGATACCCCCTAATTTTAGACATTATTTTTTGGGGGGAGGACTAGTCATACACGGAAAAATACAGTATCTTCCCAGATACTGCAGGTTCAAGGCGTGACAGTGTGTGAGTAGGATCCTAGAAGCTAAAAGGCACACACTTCTCCGTTGTAGAATCATGGTTCAGTCCAACCCACTGCAATGCAGGAATCTCAGCTAAAGCATCCATGACAGATGGCCATCCAACTTAAGCGATCAGCTTATTTCTACTTTTCAGCACTTGCAATTGGTGACATCACATGTGTCATCGAGTGACATCACAGCAGCCCAGGGAGTGACAACTTGTGCCTGTCACGTGTCTTTAAAAACACATACGTGAAATTTTTCATATATAAATCACACTGCAGCCTGACATTTCCAGCTCTAAAAATAAAGCAGAATGGAATTCACACTGTGATGTGGGGACAGGAGTCTGTGTCCTTGCTATGAGTCCACAGCGAAACACAAGACCTAAGCTAATAATAACAACAGTAATAATAATATTTATATCTGGCTGGGTTGCTAAAACAAAGACTTTGCTAAAACTCTTGGTGGGTATGACCTGCAGAGTCTTGAAGAGACGAGACTTAACTGTTAGAGAAAGGGCATTGTTTGCAACACTTTTAAAATCTAGGTTTCTAGTCCTCATTGCAGCCAGGAGAATTCTTTTTGAAGGTGTGATGATAGGAGTAGGAGCAGGGTAGGGAGGCCCAGAAATTCTCCAGGAATACCCTAAAATTAAAACTCGGCACATCAATGTTCTCAATGCTTTAAGAGGCAGAACCTGCCCATCAACTGGATATGGGGTGAGAAACCACCTGGGAACTGGCAGCTTGTTGGGTGCTTGTGAAGCGTTGCATAAGGGACTTTTGATAGGTGTCAATCATCAGATGTCAGATAACTTGACAAGGGGGCTGTCCCACCCAGCTGCTGAAGTTGATACACAGAGATGAGAGGATCTCATCAGGATGAAAACACACCCACCCCATATCCATGATGTAGATAAGGTAAGGTAAAGGTAAAAAGATCTAGAAAATGCTTACAAGAAAACATAGCTAGAGTTATGAGGTCCTGAAGACAACTGCAGCAATTTGAAACACAGAGGTGGTGAGAGAAAGGCCAGAGAGGGCAGGTGGATATTTGGAATGAATAGTAATAATAAAGTGCCCCTCCCATTTCTGTTCAACCTCCTGAAAAGACTTTTTGAGCTTTGCTCTTCTGCTTTGAAAAGGCTCTTTGCTACATTTGCATGTACCTGTGTAATGCACTCTACGTGGGGCTACCTTTGAAGGTGACCCAGAAACTACAACTACCGTATTTTTCATTCTATAGGACGCACCGGACCATTGGGGGGGGGGGGAGAACAGGGGAAAAAAATTCTCTCCCTCTCTGCTCAGCGCCCCTTCAGCAAAGTGGCAAGAGAAACGGAGCCCCTTCCATTTTTCCTCCCGCTTCGCTGAAGGGGTGCTGCGCAGAGAGGGAAAACTGTGCAGCACCTCTCCAGCGAAGCAAAGTCTGGAGAGCAAGAGGGATCGGTGTGAACGACCCCTCTCCCTCTTCAGGCGGCTATCCGCAAGCCTTTGGAGTGCAGGGAACCAGGCAGAGGGCCTTCTCGGTGGTGGCACCCGCCCTGTGGAACGCCCTCCCATCAGATGTCAAGGAAGTAAACAACTATCTGACTTTTAGAAGACATCTGAAAGCAGCCCTGTTTAGGGAGTTTTTAATGTTTGATCTTTTACTGTGTTTTTAATGTTCTGTTGCAAGCCGCCCTGAGTGGCTGGGGAAAAGCCAGATGGGTGGGGTATAAATAAAAAATTATTATTGATTGATTGATTGATTGATTGATTGATTGGCCTCTACACCTGACTAATCTGCACCGACTTTTCCCTTGCAAACCTTTTAAAATTGGGGTAGCCAGCCCTGAGCGATTTTTCTTGCCACCCCATGCCCTCTGCACTAAAGAACTCGGCAGTTTTGATGACGAAAAAGAAAACAATAAAATAATACTGGAGACTGCACTTTCTGTTTTGCTGCCCCTACCTCCGCCACTGGACAGCTGGACCATAAAGAAGGCAGATCGTCGAAGAATTCATGCTTTTGAATTATGGTGCTGGAGGAGACTCTTGAGAATCCCATGGACTGCAAGAAGATCAAACCTCTCCATTCTGAAGGAAATCAGCCCTGAGTGATCACTGGAAGGACAGATCGTGAAGCTGAGGCTCCAATACTTTGGCCACCTCAGGAGAAGAGAAGACTCCCTGGAAAAGACCCTGATGTTGGGAAAGATGGAGGGCGCAAGGAGAAGGGGATGACAGAGGACGAGATGGTTGGATAGTGTTCTCGAAGCTGCCAGCATGAGTTTGACCAAACTGGGGGAGGCAGTGGAAGACAGAAGTGCCTGGCGTACTCTGGTCCATGGGGTCACGAAGAGTTGGACACGACTAAACGACTAAACAACAACAATACCCCGCCACTTCCCCTTCAATGCAAAATAATAACAATAATAATAGGAGCACTTCCTGGGAACAATTTAAAACTTTCTTTTATTCCTTGTGGTTCCTCATTGTGTATTCACCAGACATCTGTGGCTCTCTCACACATGTCTTCCTCTTGGCTGAGCCTGCCCCCGCCTCCCCCTGCCCCCTTTTCTCCGCAATGCAGGTCGCCAGGTAGGTGCAGCGGGGGTGGGGAAGAAGTCAGGCCTGAGTAGACCTGATACAGAACCCGTTCAGGAGGGAGGATGCAGGGCTGGGGAGTGGGGAGAGACAGACAAGGTAGTGGTGCTGTGCATTCATCTCGTCCTTTTCCGTTTGGGGAAATGGTGTGTGAGTGTGTTTGTGCGCACAAGTGTACCTGTGGCTTGTGTCTCTTGAGGCAGCCGTGGCCCGCCTCGCAAAAACGAGGCGGTGTGAGGGGACACCCAAATGGCACCGATCGGGCGAGGACACATCCGGGCCGCTGGAGGGAGCGGAATGGAGTCGACGGGAGGTGTGATCGGAAGGTGTTCACCGGTCGTGGCTTCGGTTCGCATCTGCGCCACCGCCCTTCCCGCATCAGGAGGGCTCCTGGGCCCACTGAACATGCGGTTGGACCGTCCAGGCGATGAAAGGGGGTGAGGACGCCACTGGGCAGAGGTATCGCCTTCTCCTCCGTGGCCCAACTCGGCCATCGGCGGTGGTGTCCGGCTGCCACCGCCATCTCCGTCATGCCCGGTTCCACAGCAGGTTCAGCCCCCACCCAAACCCTTAACCTTCGCCGGCAGCGCGCCGCCTGCTTCTGGTCCCTCCCCCGTCCGTTTCCCAGTTTGCAGATGATCGATCCCACCCCCACCCTAGAAATGCTCCGTGGGTGAAGAGGGTGTGAGCCCCGTGCGCCTGGAAGCGGCCACCCCCGTATTTCCCGCCCCCCACACTCCATTTAGCTTAGCTCTTCTTCTGTTCCAGTTCCCGCTCTTTCTTCTTCTGCTTCTTTTGCTTCTCTACTTTCTCCTGAGCTTTCCTCTCCTTCTCGACGGCCGCGTTCAGATCCTTCAGCTTCCTCTTGAGGAGGGAACGGTCGTGGGAGTTGCTGACGCCGAGAGCCTGCAGGGACGTGGCGGGAGAATTTGGAACATGCAAAGTTCAGAAGTTTGTGTCCTCAGCACACACACACACAAATATCCACATAGGTGCCAACTTCCTGGGTGCCCGAGCACCCACAAAATTCCCCATGAAGGGGCTGGGCACCCACAAATTTCAGTGCACACTGCAAGGCACCCATGGCCCCGGGCACCCACAGTCATGGGCCCAAGCTGACACTCCTGAATATCAGCAATAGCATCGCTTTCTGTATCTCCGTTCTTCCTGCAGTGGAGGTCAGAGCTCAGACACCACCTTCACAGAAGATGTTCTTAAGCTGGCTGACTAGGCAGTAATCTGTGGTCAGACACTCAAATGTGTGTCAAGGGCACTTTGCAGCCAAAGGAATGAACATGGCAGATAGTTCAGTCTCTATTGTTTAAGATAACCCTGCCATTTCTGCAGCTCTGGATAACTACGCACAACAACCTAGCGTCTAGACAGCTATTCCCGGGTCCACGCTCTATGGAGCAGTTACAGCAACAGGGGACCACTCTCCCTCCACCGGTTTATGTACCTCCCCTATCAAGCTGAGACTAGGCCTGAGTGGAAACTTCCTCTGCTCCTCCCTCTTCAGTCCCCTCCTGGTTCCGGGGAAATGGTGCAGGAGGGGGGGGGGAAGCACCTGGTCCTTCCTTTGCCTGACCTGCCTCTTCTTCCCCTTCTTCTGACCTATCCTGTGCTCAGCCCTCCAGCTCTGAAACTTCCCCTGCCTCTGATTTCCCCCCAAATCAATGACCCCTTTTCCCAAGTCAGACTCCCAGTCCTCCTTCCCAGTGGCCTGTCAGTCTCTGACATTATGGTACATCTGCTCTTCTTTCTCTTTTCTCATCCTAGAGTGCCATCTTGTCAAAAGAAGAGTCCTGTACTCAACCCCTGGCTTCAATGGTTTAAAAAAATCAAATGGCAGGTGTTGAAAAAGCTGAGACCCTGTGACAGTCCCTGCTGGTACAGCTGGCCAAGGGGAGCCACAGTGATACCCATCCCGATTTTTTGAATGATGACTCTCATAAGCCCGAGCCAGTGTTTCCAGCAGGGATGATGGCATCATCCTGGCTATGGCTGGAACAGACAGCACTGGGTTACATGGACAAATATTCCAGACAAAACAGCTTCATGTACTCCTAGGATTCCTTGCCCGTTGAAAGTTCCTGAGTTCATTTTCATTCTGCAGGTGCCGTCCTAAATAACTTTTGCCACCTTTTTTTGCAGTGTCTGCAAAAGTTAATTAGGTGCTCGCTAGTAAACACTAAAAAAATTAGGTTCTGTGTATCTGTATCGAACCTTATCTGCAAGGGGGATATTATTATTATTATTATTATTATTATTATTATTATTATTATTATTTTATTTGTTGAATTTATATACCGCCCTATACTCGGAGGTCTCACGACAGTTCACATAAAAGGATCACAGTATATAAAATAAAAATAAAAGCAATAATCCAATAATACCTCCCCCCCCCAAAGAGCCACATTTTAAAAGGGCATAGGATGTAAATTGGATCAACCAAAGGCCTGGTTAAAGAGGAACATTTTTGCCTAGCGCCTAAAGGTGTGTAATGAAGGCACCAGGCGAACTTCCCTGGGGAGAGCATTCCACAGACGGGGAGCCACTGCAGAGAAGGCCCTGTTCTTGTGTTGCCACCCTCCGGACCTCTTGAGGAGGAGGCACATGAAGGAGGGCCTCAGAAGATGATCTCAGGGTCAGGGTAGGTACATATGGAAAGAGGCGGTCCTTGAGGTATTGCAGTCCTGAGCCGTTTAAGGCTTTATAGGTCAAAACCAGCACTGTGAATTGGGCCCAGAAACTAATTGGTAGCCAGGGCAGTCAGACCAGGATTGGTGTAATATGCTCAAGCCATCTTGCTCAAGCCGGTGAGCAACCTGGCCACACCAGCTGAAGTCTCCGAACCGCCTTCAAAGGCAGCCCTACGTATAACGCATTGCAGTAATCTAACCTTGAGGTTACCAGAGCATAGGCAACAGTAAAAACAAAAAAATTCCTTCCAGTAGCACCTTAAAGACCAACTAAGTTAGTTCTTGGTATGTCGATATCTTGATACCAAGAACTAACTTAGTTGGTCTTTAAGGTGCTACTGGAAGGAATTTTTTTGTTTTGACTATGGCAGACCAACACGGCTACCTATCTGTAAATAGGCAACAGTAGTTAGGCTATCCCTAGCGACCATGTCAGAGCCAAACCCACCTTAGTGGTATAAACCAGCGGCTCACCAGCCACCCACTGGTCAAAGAAAGAACCCCAAGGCTCTCTGCAGTCCACTAAAGCAGAATAGCATTGCCATCCCACCAGCAGAGCTTACAAAGCAGGAGCGTGGCTGGGATGCAAACCCCCTCGCCCCTCTTTTCCGTCACCTTCAGCTTGGTTCCATCGAGGAGGAGGAGCTGCTGGCCATCCACTTCCTGGGCGGCAAATTCTGCCATGTATTGCTCCAGGTTCAAGCTCTCCAACCACTGTCCCACTTTCTGACTGCTCCACGTCGAAGCTGCACTCAGAGGCTCATCCAGGAACTACAGAGAGGATTATGAGAGTATGCAATGAATGATGATGATAATCAGTGTTGCTGTTGTTTTCTGGGGTACTCAGGGGTACATAGTACCAGCACCTTTTTCTGCTAGAAGAAAAGCACTGATGATGATGATGATGATGATATAATAATAATAATAATAATAATAATAATAATAATGCATCTTGATGTTTTTGTTTTTACTTATTTATTAAATTCAGGGCCCCCACCCCCGATGGAATGCACTGGAACTCAGTTCCGGCACCTCTCAGGTGAGCACCATTGTCATTCTAAGAGAATGATGAATTCTGGCACTATTTTCCCAAAAAAACAGCCCTGATTAAATTTATCCATCTGAGGATCGCAGTATAAAAAGGAGAGACCATCATCCAGCTTGGGCTGTCGTCAGGTAGCGAGTGGTGTATTCTGCCCATGCTCAGAGGCCCTGATTATTTTATTAGTTGTTCACATGGCTCAGCGCTGGTGAGCCTTTGCTCAAGATATCGGCTCTCAGAACAGCAGGTTGAGCCAAAGACAGGTGCTTTCAGGATCCAAGAGAAAAATGTTACTAGTCCTCATTAAAGGGCAGACTGGAGGGAGGTAAAAAGGTAACAGACCCCTGGACGGTTAAGTCCAGTCAAAGGCGACGATGGGGTTGCAGTGCTCATCTCGCTTTCAGGCCAAGGGAGCCAGCATTTGTCCACAGACAGCTTTCCGGGTCATGTGGCCAGCATGACTAAACTGCTTCTGGTGCAGCGGAACACTGTGACGGAAACCAGAGCACATGTAAACACCATTTACCTCCCCGCCACAGTGGTACCTATTCATCTACTTGAGCTGGCGTGCTTTCGAGCTGCTAGGTTGGCAGGAGCTGGGACAGAGCAAAGGGAGCTCACCCCGTCATGGGGATTCGAACTGCTGACCTTCTGATCGGCAAGCCCAAGAGGCTCAGTGGTTTAGACCACAGCTCCACCCACGTCCCTGGCAGAGATATCGGTGGCATTGTGCAGATGGTTCTAAATACCCAGGTGCACCAGGGCATCGCTTGCCAGGGGACTTACCTCATCAGACGACTGGGACAGGGTGTGGTAGGGGTAGGAGCACTTTGTCGTCTCAGGATGAGCTCCGCTCAGGGTCTTGGGGCTGCTGCTACTGCTGGGAGGGGTGGAGTCATCACTCAGGGTAGATTCCTGTTGGCAGGACAGAGAAGGGTTAAGGAAAATTCCTGCAAGGTGACTCTCACCCTGACCCTTTTCGACCAGGCCGGGGGCGGGGGGGCTGACTGACTCCAGCTACAAAGGCTGCTTCTGCTGCCTATGGTTCCTAGCAGGAAAACATTGGGGTGAGATATCGATTAGGGGTTGCTGCTGGAGTCAAGATTCAGTTTGGGATATGTGTTCTAGTTTGCTACTTATCCACACCTTATTCTTTATTGTTAGCTCTTGCTATCGGCGAGTGTTTTCACTGAATATTTATTCATAGGACCCTAGGACCCTCGTACCTATGGGACCGCCTCTCCTGGTATGCCCCACGGAGGACCTTAAGGTGCATAAATAGCAATACTCTAAAGGTCCCAGGCCCTAAGGCAGTCAGATTAGCCTTAACAAGGGCCAGGGCCTTTTCAACACTGGCTCTGGCCTCGTGGAACGCTCTGTCTCATGAGACCAGGGCCCTGCGGGATCTGATTTCTTTCTGCAGGGCCTGTAAGACAGAGTTGTTCCGCCTGGCCTTTGGCTTGGAACAAGCCTGATCTCCTCCCACTCTTTCCTTTTCCTTCTGTGACAGAACCCCTATTTGGGGACTTCCCTGGCTTTTTGCTTTTTTCTGGCCCACGTAGGACCAGTCTGCATAGCTGGCCATGGTGAAGATTTGACGTTTTCTCCCCCCCCCCAAAAAAAATATATATATATATAGTTTTTGATCTGGGCTTCCACTGAAATGAGGCTGCATTTTAAGTTGTACTTTAATCCTGTTTTTAAGTTGCATTTTAATCAATTGTTTTTATAGTTGATGTTAGCCGCCCTGAGCCTGGTCTTGGCTAGGGAGGGCAGTGTGTGTGTATGTGTGTGTGTGTGTGTGTGTGTGTGTGTGTGTATGTATAGATAGATAGATAGATAGATAGATAGATAGATAGATAGTATATATATATATATAATATTGTTTATATTTGTATTACTGTTTATAAATGTTGTGGTAGACAAACAATTATTGTACTGGAGGGCACGGGGGCGGGACACACACATGGACACACCAGTCTTATGCAGGAATAACACCACTCTTGCGGGGGTTATATTCTGGAGGCCTGCACACATATGCGAAAATCATGCAAGAGGCTAACAGGCCTCTAAATGCCTGTTCCTTTCTGCTCTTGCTCCTGCTCTCTCTCTACACACAACTCTCTCCTCAACTAAAGCTGCTGCGCTACCCCATAAGTCAGCTGCTAGGCGGGGAGGCTGAGCAGCCTAAATAAAGCCCCATGGGGCACCTCTGGTCTCTTTGGGCTTCTTCTGCCTTCATTGACATCCTCTCTGGGCTCCGGGGAGGATGTCCTCTCAAGCACAAGGACTCTCCAGCTCTCCATTTCCTGGTTTGAACCTATTTATTTATTTCCCAGTGCCACGCGTATACGTGGTTGCACACTAGTTGATCACGTGTAACCGGGGGTGGGGGGAATGACAACACACAACGTCTGCATGCACAAACTGTATGCAAATCTGGGTCTCCTCATTTGGTGATGAATTTCCTCCAATAACCCAGCTCACGCTCGCTAGGAAAAGCTGCTCTTTCTCAGCCTCACCAAAACAGCATAAGCTGTCAGTGGTGTAGCGTGGGTTGTCAGTGCCCAGGGCAGTGCGGAGAGGGTGGGAGGGAGGGGAAAGGACGGAGTACACATGCACATTCAACTGCCTAACGGCACCAACGGCACCCAGGAGGTTGAAGCCGCAGAGTTAAGAATGGAAGAGATGTTCCGTTGTCTAGAAAGGTCCCTTCCTGGTTTGCACGGAGAAGCCGTCTTCAACGGAGCCCAGCGACTGTATTTAGGCAGCACCGGGTGCTTACATTTTGTGCCCCCTAACAATCTTGCACCTGGGGCAACCACCCCTGTGACCCCCTACACACACACTACACCACTGCCAACCATGCCCTAGTATGGGGCTTGGGGTACCAGCCCATTACCCATCAGACGGACTCATAACCTGCGAGGCAGACTTCTTGCGGCTGAAGGCCTCATTCTTGGGGGAGGAGGTGGGGGAGGCAGTGCTTCCTGAGGAGGCGGAGCCTTTGCCGCTGTCCGTGAACCAGGAGAAAGGCATGAAGGTCGAGGCAGAGGAGCGGCTAGGGCCCTCCATCGGCTCCCTGCAGGAAAGGGGGACAAGTATTAACAGCAAGGAAATGGGGTTGCAAAGCTGACAATATAACTTGCGATAAGAAAAATCTGGGGAGGTCGTGGGATTGGAAAAGCGACCCCCACTTGAATACTGACATAGGTAAAGGTAAAGGGACCCCTGACCATCAGGTCCAGTCATGACTGACTCTGTGGTTGCGGCGCTCATCTCGCTTTATTGGCCGAGGGAGCCGGCGTACAGCTTCCGGGTCATGTGGCCAGCATGACTAAGCCGCTTCTGGCGAACCAGAGCAGCACACGGAAACACCGTTTACCTTCCCACTGGAGCGGTACCTATTTATCTACTTGCACTTTGAGGTGCTTTCGAACTGCTAGGTTGGCAGGAGCAGGGACCGAGCAACGGGAGCTCACCCCGTCGCGGGGATTCGAATCGCCAACCTTCTGATCAGCAAGTCCTAGGCTCTGTGGTTTAGCCCACAGCGCCACCCACGTCCTTTGTGCAATACTGGGATCAGAACTAAGTGCTAAAGTGCTGGAAAAGCAATATTAGAAGCAATTTCAGTCACGCAAGTGAGAAATGATAATCTGAACTGATACGTAATCATTATATAGCGGAACCTTGGTTCTCGAACTTAATCCGTTCCGGGAGTCCGTTCAACTCCCGAAACGGTTCAGAAACCAAAGCGCGGCTTCTGATTGGCTGCAGGAAGCTCCTGCAGCCAATCGGAAGCCGCAGAAGCTGCGTTGGACATTCAGCTTCCAAAAAACGTTTGCAAACTGGAACAGTCACTTCCGTGTTTCTGGCATTTGGGAGCCGATTTGTTCGACAACTAAGCCATTCGGGAACCAAGGTACCACTGTACTGTTAAAAGAACCAATAAATTGTGTGGTATTTTGTTGCATTTAGCTATATTTCCTTCCTATCTGTACAAGATTCACTTAAAAAATAAATCTTAATTTTTATTTATTTTATTTATTTTTATTGTGATGGGGAGCATGAATCCAAATATGAAACATGGTCAGAGACGGATTAGTTTCACATATATGCCTCAGCACAGTTGTGAAATTTCCAGGAAAACAAGCTCTAATCCAGTGATTCCCAAACTCTCCCCCCAGATTTAGCTTAGATGAGGCCCTAAGCTACTGAAGGTAACGGGGCCCTTTATATGTCCAGCTGTCCTTTGTCAACAACAAATTGTCACTGTTTTTTGTGTTGAATATATGCTATATGGTAATTTATGGACCCTAATAGGTATCTAAAGCCATTTGCACATAACAAAATACGTATTTTATCATAGTAATTATTGAACTGAAATACAATTAAGAAGTATATTAATACTGAAATAATTATTAAACTCTTGCCTAAAATGATTTTTTATTCATAACAAACTTAATAATGCAAACACATTGGTATTTGGCAATCACAAAAGTTCCTTTAGAAACACAATTTACAAAGACTCATAATCTAGTCTCTAGAAACTTGCTATAACATGAAATAATAATAGGTGTAAGTATATGATGCAAACTACTACTAATTATGAATAGCAGAATGTAGGCACCCTATATATAGAAATGAGCAAACCAGTGATATTTTAGGGAGCAGGCTAGCAGGAAGGGCCCATGACTTACATCATAGGAGCCTACACAACACAAAACACTGTTGCTGTATGTAGGTTTTACTTGATTTGTTTTTTATCTTATATTTTGGAAATGTGCATCCAGTTTTTCCCCCTTTAAATTTTGTGGGGGCCTAAGCTATAGCTAAGGGACGTGGGTGGCGCTGTGGGTAAAACCTCAGCGCCTAGGACTTGCCGATCGCATGGTCGGCGGTTCGAATCCCCACGGCGGGGTGAGCTCCCGTCCTTCGGTCCCAGCTCCTGCCCACCTAGCAGTTCGAAAGCACCCCTAAGTGCAAGTAGATAAATAGGTACCGCTTTATAGTGGGAAGGTAAACGGCATTTCCATGTGCTGCGCTGGTGCTGGCTCACCAGAGCAGCTTTGTCACGCTGGCCACGTGACCCGGAAGTGTCTCCGGACAGCGCTGTCCCCCGGCCTCTTAAGTGAGATGGGCGCACAACCCTAGAGTCGGACACGACTGGCCTGTACGGGCAGGGGTACCTTTACCTTTAAGCTATAGCTTGTTTAGCTTATACGTAAATCCGGCGCTGCTCCCACTGTTTGGGGACTACAATTCCCATCATCCCTGACCACTGGACCTGCTAGCTAAGGATAACGGGAGCTGTAGTCAAAAAAACAGCTGGAGACCCAAGTTTGGGAAAACCTGTAAAAGCTATCACTAGGGTTGTCTTATTCAGACACAATTGCATGGCACTTTTTCGGGTGGATGTTTCTGACGCCCCTCTATTATGTGTGTGTGTGTGTGCGCACGTCTGTGTATCACCCACCTTCCACATAATTTACAGAGTTCCATGAGAAATCAATTTGAGAGGAGCCTCAGGAAATTGCCAATTGCTTACCTGTTGCCCATGGAGAGTCGATTGCCCCCTTTTTCTTTCCTGCTCTTCCCAGAAGATGCCCTTCTGAGGGTGACCCTGTGCATCAGGAAGGGGACAATTAGGCACACGTGAAAAAACCAGGTGCAGTTCTCAGATATGTAGAAAGCACACAAGCAGAGGGGGCTGTGAAAGAGACCCCAAAGATACAAAATGAATCAGTGTGGTCCACTCCTTGTCTCTGAATAGCCAACTTTCAAGACTCACCCTAAATCCAGAAACTTCCGTCGGGTTTTCTTGTCGAGACCAATAGTTGGGCTTGCAGGATCTGGCGGGCTCGTGTCCCGGCTATCATCTGGAAGGGGAAACGGGGAGGTGAGAGGGAACAGTGTTTAATTTCTGAAATGAGAAGTGCTTAGGCCAAAGCCTGATACACAAATAATGTAGGGATTTTGATCACTTTTGAATTAGCCTAAGTTTTGCTGCCTGTGTTTTCTGACTGCTGTATGGAAAAGCACATGAACCTGACCTTTGAAGAGTTTGTAAGTAAAATTTTTAGCTTTCCAAATGTGTGGTCTTTTTCTGTGCTTTGAATTTGGAAGGACCTTAGAAGAGCATATTTTAAAGGCACAGTAGCCTATATTTACATGCTTTGCTTTGTTGCATATTTTGTGATTTTAAATATCTGCTGGAGTTCTTTCACCAAAGATTTCTTGCACCCAAACCTGGATCTTGGCATCTGGGAAATTCTCCTTTTTATACTCGCCACCCCACCCCCGCCAACCAACTTTCTGCACATGCTCAAGAGCTCGGTAGTTTTTACTAATATTTCCCGTGTTCTGCTCATACGGCCTGGGGTTGGAAAACTAAGCTCTGAAATGAAGCCCTGGCTGAAATGAAGCCTTGGAAAGATGTGCAAGGAATATTATTCAAGAGAAAATGTTTTACAATTTAGTGTATTGATTTAAATAACCTTAAAATATCAATGATTTCCCTTCTTTTCTTTCCATGGTTCATTTTGCATAACATAAATCTCTGCATATTTTACATAAACTGTACCATTCAGTGGCGCTGTGGTCTAAACCACAGAGCCTAGGGCTTGCCAATCGGAAGGTCAGTGGTTCGAATCCCCACGACGGAGTGAGCTTCCATTGTTCAGTCCCAACTCCTGCCCACCTAGCAGTTCAAAAGCACACCAAAGTGCAAGTAGATAAATAGGTACTGCTCTGGCGGGAAGGTAAACGGCGTTTCCGTGCGCTGCTCTGGTTCACCAGAAGCAGCTGTGTCACGCTGGCCACATGACCTGGAAGCTGTCTGCGGACAAACGCCGGCTCCCTCGGCCTATAGAGCGAGATGAGTGCGCAACCCCAGAGTCGTCCGCGACTGGTCCTAATGGTCAGGGGTACCTTTCCCTTTCCCTTTTATTCCATTATTACATCCATCAAAACTTATTTACACTGTTGAATTTATCTTAATGCTGCCAACGTTTTCAAGTGTACACAATTTCCTCCCATATATTCAGTAAACATTTTCCAATCTTCTTTAAACTTATGTGCTTCTTGTTCTCTTATTCTATAAGTTAGATCTGCAAGACGCACATATTCCGTCAGTTTAAGCTGCCATTCTTCTTTAGTTGGGACTTCGCTCATTTTCAATTTTTGGGCTAACAAAACAGGGGCCGCAGTAGTGGCATACAGAAATAACTTTTTTTTTGGAGGTTATCGTGTGTTTACTTTCTTTAAGAACTTACAGGATATATCTGGGAGGATGGAGGCATAACCTTTTCTGCATCAAATCAATCTAGGGAGAGCTGCAGGTAGGTTGGTGCATCTGCAGGCAGGTTATGTGCCCTTTAGGCACTTCTTTCCTCGATGACATGTGTTGTGGCAAGTGTGACGTTAACATATATGAGAGAGTGCTGGAGGGGAAATAGTTAAATAGGTTGCACAGACAGGACCCAGGGGGGTGGAGTCAGTGGGTCTATAAAACTAGTTCTGGGAGGAGTTCATTGGGAGTTGTTGGTGGGCAGTTGGTTGGGTTTTAGTGGGTTGGCTGGTTGGGAAAGGCAGTTGGAGAAGCAGTTGGTAATAGAGAGACAGTTAGGGCAGTTGGTTCTTTAGTGTGGGGATGTAGAAGAGATAGAGAAAGGAAAAATAAGACTAAGAAAGTAAAGAGCAACAACGTTTGGAATGCTGTAAAAGTTTTGTTTGTGTCTGAAATAAAATACACTCTTCTTTATTAATTGAAAAGCTGACTGAGACTGAAGTGATTTTACCAGGGAGGACCTGGTTGGTGGCAGTGGATTAGTGGTGTACGGGTCAATAGTCCGTGAGACGACCGGGGGCTCCGTATGAACTCCACAGCAAGGTCTATGGTTTCCACCAGCCCCCAGCTGCCCAGAGCCCCGGCTTACCTTCACTGTGCCTCTCCCTGCGTGCATAGATGGGTGAGCTGTCTGAACTGTGGCAGGACTTGGGCGAGGAGCTGGTGGGGGTGCCCCCTAAGGCCTCCTGGGAGGAGGTGTTGGTCAGAGGTCGGTAACGGATGAGGGGCGACGACGGCTGCTCTTCCTGCTCCACCGACCTCCGGACTGTCGGGGCATCAAAGGAGAACTCGCCGGCGCGAGTGAAGGGCGAGGAACCGGAGAGAGGAGATGAGGCCTGGAGGGAACCGTGCAGAGGAGACCTCAGGCGGTGGAGAGGACTTCCACAGCTATCACCCGCCTGCAAGGAGAAGCAGATAGAAAAGAGTCCAGTTGCCTGGGCATTCAGACTGCAGACGGACTTGCATGCCCAGTGGACCAGGAGGGGGGACTCAGAGGACAACAACTGGGCACCTAACCATCCATGGTAACGATAGTAATAGTAATACAGTGGTACCTCAGGTTACATACGCTTCAGGTTGCATGCGCTTCAGGTTACAGACTCCGCTAACCCAGAAATAGTACCTTGGGTTAAGAACTTTGCTTCAGGATGAGAACAGAAATCGTGCAGTGGCAGCAGTGGGAGGCGCCATTAGCTAAAGTGGTGCTTCAGGTTAAGAACAGTTTCAGGTTAAGAACGGACCTCCGGAATGAATTAAGTACTTAACCCGAGGTAACATTGTAATAATGATAATGATACAGTGGTACCTCTGGTTGAGAACGGGATCCCTTCCGGAGGCCCATTTGCAACATAAAAAGAGCACAACATTAAGCGCCATATCTGCACAGGTGCACGGCGTGATTTGGCGCTTGTGCGCATGCATGAGTGGCGAAACCCGGAAGTAACCCTTTCCGATACTTCCGGGTCGCCGCGGAACATAACCTGAAAGAATGTAACATGAAGCAAATGTAACATGAGGTATGACTGTAATATTCATTCATTCATACCCTGCCCATCTGGTTGGGTTTTCCCCAGCCACTCTGGACCGCTCCCAATAAAACATCAAACATTAAAAACTTCCCTAAACAGGGCTGTCTTCAGATGTTTTCTGAAAGTCAGAGAGTTGTTTATTTCCTTGACATCTGATGGGAGGTCGTTCCATGGGGCAGGCACCACTACCAAGAAGGCCATCTGCCTGGTTCCCCGTAACCTCACTTCTCACAGTGAGGGAACCTCTCGGAGGAGGACCTCAGTGTCCGGGCTGAACGATGGTGGTGGAGACGCTCCTTCAGGTATACTGGGCCGAGGCCATTTAGGGCTTTAAAGGTCAGCACCAACACTTTGAATTGTGCTCAAAACCTACTGGGAGCCAATGTAGGTCTTTCAGGACTGCTGTTATATGTTCTCGGCGGCCGCTCCCAGTCACCAGTCTAGCTGCCACATTCTGGATTAGTTGTAGTTTCCAGGTCACCTTCAAAGGTAGCCCCACATAGTGCACATTGCAGTAGTCCAAGCGGGAGATAAGTAGAGCATGCACCACTCTGGTGAGACAGTCTGCGGGCAGGTAGGGTCTCAGACTGCGTACCAGATGAAGCTGATAGACAGCTGCCCTGGACACAGAATTGACCTGCGCCTCCATGGACAGCTGTGAGTCCAAAATGACTCCCAAGATAGCGTCTTGAAAATGCCCAATGGTCTGGAAAAGCAGGTGCCGTTTGTGATCTTGGTTGGAGAGAGGCCAACACAGCACCCAGTAAACCAGGTGAGAACAAGATGCTAGAATAAGATGGGCCATTGTCCTGATCCGCAGGCTCCTTTTATGTTCTTAGTCTTTTTGGCAGGGAACACGATAGTCTATATTTCCTCCTTTTACGGGGCGTATTTAATTGCTAAATTAATCTGGGGAGTGCTCATATAGATACTGCAAGGAATGTACAGATCGGTGGAAACAGACACAGTGACGTTTAAGCGTTTTCTCCTACCCAAGCAGTGGTGAAAAAAGCTTGTGAAACTATCTACCTATCTAATCTGTCATATCTGATGATGATCCAAAATAACAACCTGAATTTGAAATTTGTCTCCTTAGGCTAGGGTTGCCATATTTCAAAAGGGGAAATCCGGACACAACATTATTGAGCTTTTGTTTTTGGCCAAAATTGTTGAGTTTTGTTTGTTTGCAGAATCTAAAAATAAAATAAAATAAATTGAGGGACTGGCGATTTCTGCCCGGACACTGCTTCCGACTGCAGTATTCCGGCTATGTCTGGGAAATTCCCTACCTTAGGCCAGCCTTCCCCCAAAATGGTGCCCATCAAATGTTTTGGACTACAGCGCCCATCAGCCCTAGCCAGCATAGCCAATGATCAGGGATGATGGGAGTTGTAGTCCAACAAAACTGCAGAGGGCACCAGGTTAGAGAAGGCTGCTGTAGGCTGTTTCCTGACTGTTCTGGTTTTGGCCACCAATTTCACACGGTGTTTCCTGATCGGTTAAATGGGTGAGAACTTTCAAGCCACTTACGGTTCGGGAAATAAATACCAACTCAAAACAGCTAGGCAGGGCACAGCTTCATGGCCCACAACCTGTTTTGTTCTTGCAAAACTACTGAAAATGTGAAATTGCAGGTTGTGCCAGATGATGCTTTTACCTTGATACAGCCCAAATGTGGAGGGAAGTGAGCATGCACACTAATGACACCTGAAATGCAAGCAAGCGTCATTTGACTCATATTCTAATGGAATCTGGATCCACATATCTTGTGCCCGTGCATGCTTAACTGTGCATATGCAGGTGACTTTTGGACATTCTGTCTCTCTTTGTACAGGTGGGGCTGGCAAACTGGGTGCTTAAAGGTAAAGGGTAAAGGGACCCCTGACCATTAGGTGACCAACTCTGGGGTTGTGGCGCTCATCTCGCTTTATTGGCTGAGGGAGCCGGCGTACAGCTTCTGGGTCATGTGGCCAGCATGACTAAGCTGCTTCTGGCGAAACCAGAGCAGCGCACGGAAACGCCGTTTACCTTCCCGCCAGAGCGGTACCTATTTATCTACTGGCACCGGCGTGCTTTCGAACTGCTAGGTTGGCAGGAGCAGGGACCAAGCAATGGGAGCTTACCCCGTCACGGGGATTCGAACCGCTGACCTTCTGATCGGCAAGTCCTAGGCTCTGTGGTTTAACCCACAGCGTACAGGTGGGGCTGGCAAACTGGGTGCTTAGCAAGGAAGAAATGCATACACTTCCTCCCCTCTATGTGCTGGAATTGTAGTAATTCTCTAATCGGCACCTCCAGATCGTTCCTTAGAGGTTTCATCTGGGGGTGGAATGCAGTGAGTACAATTATGGGGACAGAAGGCAGCTACTAGCATTCAGTAGGATTCAGATATATACTAGTGTTGTCCAGAATTGCTGTGGACTCATTGTGAGGTTGTGGGCAAGGCATCATCTCTCAGCCTCAGTTCCTCAGTCTAGAAAATGGGAATACAGTGGCCTATCTCACTGGACTAGGATGAGGAAAGACATACAGTAAGACCCCCAGCAAGATCAGCCCATTAAGTCTAGCATCCTAGTTCTCACAGTGACCAACCACATGCCAGTGGGAAGCCCACAACAAGGGCAAGAAGACAATAAAGTTCTCCTTCTGTTAGGCCATAGAAATGGGGATCCCACAGCATATGGCCTCTGAATCTAGAAGGTGCCTATAGCCATTGTGACTAGTAGTCAGTGGATGGATTCATCCTCCAGGAATTGGCCCAGTCTCCTTTTAAAAAGCCATCTAAACAAGTGGCTATCAAGTACAATCTGCAATTTGCAAAATGGAGATGAAAACGCTAATGGACAATAATTGTAGTGATCCTCTAAACAGCCCCTCCAGATCTTTCATGAGAGATTTCATCTGGGGATGGAGTGGAGTGAGTAGAATTATGGGGACAGAAGGCGGCTACCAGCAGGATTAAACACATTCGCTGCCTGGGTGTAAATAACAGGATAAATACCATCTATGAGCACCTTCCCTACAGAAAGTGTACAGCAGCAAGACTAATTTGGAAATTAGGGAGGCTTAGGGCTGGTCCATCCACAATGTATCTCTATAGAACTGTTATAACTTAAAAACAGGCATCTGAATGGGTGAACTGGCCCCACTGGGGATTCTGTTATTGGGGCGATTAATGGTCTATCTGTGATATTATATGTAGGAATAAATGAAAAGTCAGACCAAAGGCTTATCCAGCTTAGAACCTTGTTTAAGAATGGCAAACTGGATGAAAGTTACTTATTTTGCTTTTGTTTAGAAGCGTTTATATACTGCTTAATGTTTAAAACTAAGCGATGCATGATAGAGAAGCAAAACAATGTCGTGGAAGCAAAAACACAACATGAAACTAGTAAAATGGTTGTGTCAAGGCATATAAAACAGGAACCTGGGTTCTTAATGAACGTTCAAACTTTCATCTGGGCAAAAAAGTATATTTTCCACGAGTGATCTGAAACAACTGGTGACTGCTGCTTCACATAGCAGTGAAAAGGGCATCCCATAATCCAAGGCAAATAGTGTGAAATGCCAACTTTTGGGCCACTGCCCTATGATATTCTGTAAGGTGCGGAACCACGAGTGCCTTTTGCCCAGGTGATCACCAACCTGTTCAGACCCAGAACCCACTTTTAACCCAAACATGCCTCTGGAGACCCCTTTTCTTAACCCCAGTGTGCCAACCTGTATAAAATAAAATAAAATAAAATAGGGGAGGCAGCTAAGCCTTGGCCCTGCATAGTCAATCACAAGAGGCAGCACACATGCACCATTTGAATGGCAATGCCCATCAACTTTGCCCCCCCCCTCAAATATTTTATCGGAGGGAGCAAAGGGACACAGCTCCTAGGAGTTGGCTCCTATGCTTTCACTCTAGATTTGCATGCTGGCAGTGCTCCTCCTGCGCCCCACCTTAGATCTGGCCGCAACCCCCCAGTGGGCCTTTAAGTGACCTTCCAGGTCCACCCAGGGGTGGACAGTCTTCTAGGCAACATGATTTGATCCCTTGATGTTTCAGCCACCAGGAGATGAACAGGCATCTCTGAAAGCCCAAACCAAGGAGATGATGCTTAGGATCCAGGGGCTGGTGGGTTTACCTGCGAGCTCAAGGCAGACCCTCCAAGTGTCCCTATTTTCAAGGGACACAGATTTACAGAAGCCGTCCTAGTTTCTGATTTGATTCCGGAATGTCTCACTTTTCCTTAGGAAGTCCCTATTTTCGACAGAGAAATGTTGGAGTGTATGGGAGAGACCAGTGCCGGATTTACGTATAAGCTAAACAAGCTATAGCTGAGGGCCCCACTCTCTTGGGGCCCCAAAAAAATTTAAAGGAAAAAAAAACCTGGATGTACATTTCCAAAATATAAAATAAAAAGCAAAGCAAATAAATCCTACATACAGCAACAGTGTTTTGTGTTGTGTAGGCTCCTATGACGTAAGTCGTGGGCCCCACCTGCTAGCCTGCTCCCTAAAATACCACTGGTTTGCTCCTTTCTATATATAGGGTGCCTACATTCTGCATGGACTGGTTGCATGGCAACATGTGCAAATGGCTTTAGGTACCTACGAGGTCCATAAATTACCATATAGCATATATTCAACACAAAAAACAGAGGCAATTTGTTGTTGACAAAGGACAGCTGGACATATAAAGGGCCCCATTACCTTCAGTAGCTTAGAGACTCATCAAACCTAAATCCGGACCTGGAAGAGACCGCTGCCACTGAGGCCCAGCCCCACAGCGGGGGGGGGGGGATGAGGGTTGAGGAGGGTCCGTTGCAGAGTGGATTCGATTTAAATCAAATCAATTTAAATCACAAGTCAGTAAGACTTGATTTAAATCTTTTTTTTTTTTACAGAAAGACCCATTCTTGCTGGTATAATCTTAATCTTAATATTTACAACCGGACGAAGGTTTCATTTTTGGAATGATAAATTTTCAGAGTTGTTTTTACAGTTATATCAAAACTTACTGATTTGGTTATACCATTAGAAATACATAGTCAGATAATTACGAAATTATTGTGAGATTTAATGCGTTAACTATTTATATTTGGACAACTTTTCTGCTGTACTTTATTGAAGGAGAAAAACTATCATCTCCTCAATAACAATTTAAACAATTTATTTAACTGAAACAATAACATTATAGCATATGTATCCTTGTTTGTTAACTGATGTGGTTAAACAATTTTTTATTCTTATTTTTTTAAAAGCTTAGTCTGAATTTTAGCACACATGGAAAAACTTAAAACAAATCCTTATTTCCTGATGAATAGCCTTTGGACTATAAGGTAACTTCAATAGAAAACTATCTTTAGAAAGATTTTTCCTCCAAAAGCATTTTATTTTTTAAAAATCCGATTTAAATTAAAAAAAATCTGATTTAAATTTTAAAAATATGAGATTATTTGTATTTTTTAAATTCATTGATTTTTATCCACCTTGGTCCGTTGGTGGAGGGAGTGAGAAATATCCCTGTTTTCATCTGTGGGATGTTGGAGGGTCGGAAAACGAGAGTAATGCATAGGGAGATATTTGGTGGGGCATCGGCCGGGCACTGACTGTTATGTACTGAAGTTCTCACCCTGGGTCAGCAGGGGGATACTGTAGATAGTTTTCACTCAGGTCCACATATGCAAATAAGGAATTGAAAGTGACGTTCAGTGATTGGCTAGTTACAGAAAGTGGTTACTGTTGCGTTATAGTGGAGCTCTATATAAGCAGGCTGGCTGAACCCTTCAGTTCAGTTCTGTTCTGGCCTGTGAATAAACAAGAGCTGTTTGAAGAATCGCTGTGTCGTCTGATATGTTCACCCACAACTTAACACTGACCTTTTTCTCCAGGATATCATCCCCTTCTGTGGAGCTGACGCTGTCTCTCAACCGGGACCTGGAAGGGCGCTGCCGCCTGCCTTTGGCGGAGAGCTGGGCTCGGGCCTTCTGCAAGCTGCTGTCCAGCCTCTGGGTCTCTGGAATCACATCATTAAAATCTGGGGGTGAAAGAGAGAAACGGGAGGGGGGCAGAGCGGTGGCAGGCGAGGAAAAGCGAGCGTGAGAGGAAGAGGTCAGCGTAGAAGCGGCCGGGGGGGCGGCCGCAGGAGGAAGGATGGAGTGCGGAGAGGGCAAGATGCAACGTAAAGGAAGGAAGGAGGGAAGCGGGGAGGGCAAACGAGTGAAATTCAAGCCCCACCGAGTAGGGGGGACACAGAAAAGGGGTGGTGGAATGGAGGGCAAGAAGGGAAGGAGACACACAGAGAGAGCATTCAGAGAAGAGAAGAGCACAGTTGTCATTCAGAAGTATCCTTCAAAGACATGACCTCCCAGAACAGAACAGGCTACCTATAGGGCGGGCGTTTTATTACACTTCTTGGCCTGGGAGACCTTCAAAATGTCCCTATTTTCCAGGGACAGTTCCGGATTTACAGAAGCCATCCCAGTTTCTGATTTGATCCCGGAATGTCCCGCTTTTCCTTAGGACGTCCCTATGTTCATCAGAGAGATGTCAGAGGGTATGGAGTTATGCGACCCCCGAGCCAAGGAGATATGTAAGTAACTAGACAACCTTTAGAAGACACCTGAAGGCAGCCCTGTATAGGGGAGTTTTTTCAAATGTTATGTTTTGTTGTTTCCATATATGTTGGAAGTCGCGCAGAATGGCTGGGGCAAGCCAGTCAGATGGGCAGGGTATTATTATTATTATTATTATTATTATTATTATTATTATTATTATAATAATATTTTTATTATTATTATTCAATACGATGTCCCTATTGGCTAGATTGGTCTCCACTAGGGCCAGGGCCTTTTCAGTACTGGCCCCGACTTGGTGGAATGCTCTGTCACAAGGGACTAGGGCCCTGCGGGACTTGACATCTTTCTGTAGGGAATGCAAGACAGAGCTGTTCCGCCTGGTCTTTGGTTTGGAGTCAGTCTGACCCTTATGTTTCCCTCCCCTTACAGTTTTGATCTTTGAAAGCACGTCAAAGTGCAAGTAGATAAATAGGTACTGCTCCGGCGGGAAGGTAAACGGCGTTTCCGTGCGCTGCTCTGGTTCGCCAGAAGTGGCTTAGTCATGCTGGCCACATGACCCAGAAGCTGTACGCCGGCTCCCTCGGCCAATAAAGCGAAATGCTGCTGTACACAAACACTTTTTTGCTCTCTTTCTTCCTCCCCCCCCCTCCCCTTGCAAATATACATTTAGCATCTTTCAGGGAGGAATGCTATAGGTGTGTGATTTAGTAGGGAGAAATGGCTGCTGAAGAAAGGTTAAGCACCTTCCCTCTGTGCCACTTTTGCAATCATGTCCTTCTGAAGTGGCTTTTAAAGCAAACAAACGTAGCTGTCAGATTACAGTTCCCCACGTTTGCAGTCAGTTTGACCGCGGACTTCGACCCCGCCATGCGCAGATTTCAGCTCTGAGACTAAACCATTTATCCGTACGTACCTCTCTCTTTCACACAAACAGACACCCACACATGCTTGCCTGGTCCCTCAAATGCTCCAATTATGCCCACACATCAACGGTACGGTAGTCCTATCTCCCTTGCCGTTTGCAACGCATGTTTGCGCCATCTCCCAACAGCGCCTTCCCTGCATACAGAACAGCCTCATGAATTAATCAGATCCGCTAGGCATCTCGAGGCAGGAAGCGCGAGGGGCTCGCTTGTTTGTGTGAGTGTGTGTGTCGCTGTGTGTGTAGCCATGTGTGCGGCGAGGTGTCTCCGGGAGCAAAAAGTCAGCCACCGCTTAATTGACTACACAGGGATGCCGGGAGTGGGAAACGAGGAACAATGGTATCGGGAGGCATGAAACATCGGCAGGCAAAGTTGGAGAGGTGGCAGAGGACATGTGCTCGCACACACAAGACAAAACACAACACTGCTTAGTTTTAGAAAGGGCTCGAGTTGCATGGATGCTCTCAGCCATAGGGCACCTGCTCCCCATATCCCGGCTGCGTCAAGGCTGGTTGTAGTGGTGCGGGTGGCACTGTGGTCTAAACGACTGAGCCTTTTGGGCTTGCCGATCAGAAGGTTGGTGGTTCAAATCTGCACAACAGGGTGAACTCTCGTTGCTCGGTCCCAACTCCTGCCAACCTAGCAGTTCGAAAGCACGCCAGTGCAAGTAGATAAATAGGTACCACTTCAGCGGGAAGGTAAACAGCGTTTCCATGCACTCTGGTTTCCGTCACGGTGTTCCGTTGCACCAGAAGCGGTTTAGTCATGCTGGCCACATGACCCGGAAAGCTGTCTGTGGACAAACGCCAGCTCCCTCAGCCTGAAAGCGAGATGAGCGCCACAACCACATAGTCGCCTTTGACTGGACTTAACCGTCCAGGGGTCCTTTACCTTTTTTACCTATAGGTTACTCTACAAAGAGAGTTTTCTGCACGTGCTCAGAGATGCAGCCCCTTACATGAAATATGCATGCGTGCATATGCAGAAATCTAAATTGGACATAGATTTGAAAAAGCTGGGGGAAATCTGGCTCTGGATGAATAATACGATCAGGAACAGAAGAATGTGGAGCAGGTGTAGCTTTTTGTACTGCCTGGATTCAGCTTGCCCTCATTGCAACCAGATATTCTGAATTGTTTACCATGAGCATTGCCACGTTTGTTCAGGCAGGAAGAAAAGCATCACTGTACAATCGGAGTGACTGGGTGAGTCAGCCCTCTCCAGCACTCATTTCCATCCAACCATAGCTTTCAGGATATAAAACTTTCCAAGGTGGCACACAAGTAAAATTAAAATGCAAGCATGAAATACACAGCATAGAAAGGTAAGTCCCAATGAGTTTTTATCGGTGTTTGACGTCATGGAGGGAGGCGACACATTCATATTTTATTTAGGTAATTTTTAGCCTGCACTGCAGCCAAAAAAGGTTTCCTTCCAGAACGGCTTACAGGGTGATTTTTTAAAAAAGGGAGAAAGACTGCCCTCGAGATTACAATCTAAAAAACCATGGCACAAAAGGAAATTGGATTGGTGAGGGAGGAGGAAACAGGCATGCTCAGGTATAAGTTAATGCCTGGATTCTTAGTTACAATTTCTTAACTAATGGCATATTAGAGCCATGTTTTGGTTGTAGGTATTGAGAGCCTAACCTCCATCCTCTTCCTGTTCCTTCTAAATCATGCTACCCCAGAAAGGTTTTGCACAGTGAGGTTCCAAATGCACCTCTGTGATTCAGTAAGGCTACCTTTTCCCCTACAATGTTTGCACTGCTTTGTGACTCTTTAAAGAGTTTTATTCATTTTATTTCAGTTCTTTAGTTGCCCATTGAACAGTTTTAAGAGGGAAGTCTCAACTAGCCATTTTTTTAAAGTGCCAGAAAAATGCAGACGACTATCCCCCTCCCACTTGGTTAAAGTTTTATTTATCTACATTCATTTAATGTTTCGTTGAAAATAAAGGGGAAGAAATCATTTTTAGGTTCCACTCCTCTTTCTATCTAAAACTAGTGGGGATGTGGTATAGTGGTTAAAGTGCTGGGAAGGACGAGCACTGGGAAGGCACAGGTTCAAATCTCCACCTCACTGAGAAGCTCACTGAGTGACCTTGAGCCAGCCATTTTCTCTCAGCCTATAACCCACCTCACAGGGTTGTTGTGAAAATAAAACGGGTGGGGCGAAGCATGCATGCTGCCTTGAGCTTCTAAGGGTGATGGGGGACTTAAGATATATACAGTGGTACCTCAGGTTAAGAACTTAATTCGTTCTGGAGGTCAGTTCTTAACCTGAAACTGTTCTTAACCTGAGGTACCGCTTTAGCTAATGGGGCCTCCTGCTGCCGCCATGCGATTTCTGTTCTCATCCTGAAGCAAAGTTCTTAACCCGAGGTACTATTTCTGGGTTAGCTGAGTCTGTAACCTGAAGCGTCTGTAACCTGAAGTATAGTATAGTATAGATGTACTAAAATAATATGGCACTACTATTTCCCCCAACTCATATCTAACACGTGTTCGTGGTGGCAAAGCCATAGAGCGCATGCTTTGACTGCAGAAGGCCCCAACTTCAATCTCACAGCATCTCCACTTAAAAAGATAAGATAGCAGGTAATGAGAAGGAGTTTCTCTTGCCTGTGTTCATAAAGAAGAGTGGGAACTGCAGACCCCAGGCGCAGTCCCATCAGCTCCAGCCAGCATGGCCAATGGTTAGAGGTGATGGGAGGAGCTTGCAACCCCATTTATGTTCCAGCTGTGTCTTAACCTGCCAAATGGTCAGGATATGAGTATTTGAAAAGGAAGAAGGGGGCATCGCACAAGGAATAAATTCTGCTGGGTCGTTCTAGAACGTGCTGAAAGTGACATTTCCTCCCCCTGATTCAAGACGCAGATGGCAATCCCCCAAAAAAGCCCTGCCTCTCTGCCTCCTCCCCCAGACACCAGGTTTGTAAGCTCAAAAGCACAGAAATGGAAAATGCCCAGCAGGCAGCAATGGGCACCATGCCAGCAGCATCAAATTCTTCATCCAACAATGAGTGTGGCTGAGCATTGGCATTTTATTTTGGGTCGTTTTGCTCCATCCATACCGCCCAATAGCTTGGTTTGTAGCTGTGTTTAGAGTTAATTCACACTGCGCTCAGGGCAGGGCCTGCGATTTAAAATCTAATGCCCTGGATGAATGTTGTGCCCTGTGTGTTTGCTTGGGAAACTGCCTCAGTCCCTGGAAGGAGCCACTGCACACAGGCTTTTGAACCACAGCGTAATAGAATACGTGCCGCCAATGCGAGAACAATTCAAGAGAATTGTATATCTCCAATTTGCCATCTCCATGGGGGCTTTATGAAAGGGACATGGGTGGTGCTGTGGGTTAATCCACAGAGCCTAGGACTTGCCGATCAGAAGGCTGGCGGTTCAAATCCCCGCGAGGGGTGAGCTCCCGTTGCTCAGTTCCTGCTCCTGCCAACCAAGCAGTTTGAAAGCACGTCAAAGTGCAAGTAGATAAATAGGTACCGCTCCGGCGGGAAGGTAAATGGCGTTTCCGTGCTCTGCTCTGGTTCGCCAGAAGCGGCTTAGTCATGCTGGCCACATGACCCGGAAGCTGTACGCCGGCTCCCTCAGCCAATAAAGCGAGATGAGCGCCGCAACCCCAGAGTCATCCGAAACTGGACCTAACAGGGGTCCCTTTACCTTTTTGTGGGGGCCTTATGAATGGGAGAGTGTCTCTGAGCACATGCAGAATGTTTCCCTTGCCACATTATTTTTGTTGTTATTGCTTCAACGTCTATCCTGCCCTTCATCCGAAGGTCACAGGGCAGTTTGCAATATAAAAAGACCCCCCCAAAAACCCCCCTCCCACCTACATGCCACCTGTGGTGAGGGTCCTAGGAGGTTTACAAATGCTTCTTTTTATGCGCAGCCCCTGGGTGGCGCAGGGATCGGGTGAGGCCGGGGAGGAATAAGGAGCTTACCGAAAACCTCATCCGCATCTTGGAGTTTGGAGGAAGACATAATGAAGTAAATCTGCGAAGGAAGAGAGAGATGAATGGAGGGAGAGAGAAAGAGTAGTCAGTCTTTACAACTGGCATGAGGAATTTCTAGACCTCCCTGCCTGGCACATGGGAGTCCCTGTAAGTCACACCTCCTATCCAACCCTTTCCCATGCCCTTCCCAACTGGAATGTCTTCTTGAATTGCGATACAGTGGTACCTTGGTTCTCAAACTTAATCCATTCCAGAAGTCCGTTCCAAAACCAAAGCATTCCAAAAACAAGGCGTGCTTTCCCGTAGAAAATAATGCAAAAGGGATTAATCCGTTCCAGACTTTTAAAAACAACCCCTAAAATAGCAATTTTACATGAATTTTGCTCTCTAAGGAGACCATTGATCCACAAAATGAAAGCAATAAACAAGGTACTGCAGTCACATACACAATCAATCAATCAGTAGCTGAACTGGGTCCCACACGGTCACAAAAACAAAACAAAAAAGCCTCAAAAACACAAAATAAATAGCAAAAACAGACAGACCTCAGCGTAACACTCTAAACGGAAGTGTGGCACTCATGTTCAGCTTCCGAAAAACTTTGCAAACCAGAACAGTTACTTCTGTGTTTGCAGTGTTTGGGTTCCAAGTTGTTTGAGTACCAAGGCATTTGAGAACCAAGGTACCACTGTAATGCCTTGTGAGACAGCCTGTCTTATGTTTTAGCAGTTAAACAGCTGAAGGATGGCTTTTTCACTTTGTTCTCTGGCTCGAGGTATCACATAGGGTCTCCAACGGCCATCTAGTCCAACCCTTACAATGTAAGGATCTCAACATGCCCGTCTCCCATCCAATTTGAAACCTGACCAGGCCCTGCTTAGCTTTGCAGACGTGCTAGCAGTTTATTGCTGCACCACATGTCCAAAAAACCCCAACCAAACACATACAATCCCTTCTGCCCCTGCGTGCTGCTGCTCCTTTTCAGCTGCTGGGGCAGGACAGGAAGGAAGGGAAGCAGGGATTCACACTTATTGGCCAAATGGATCTGAATAAGCCACCTTAATGGATTTGATTGCTTTTGCTGCTGCCGTCCCTAGAGAACATACTCTGTGTGTTCAATTCCATCACTCAGCAGGGCCTGACCAGTAGCAAACAGCTGGCAGCCTGCCTAGTCAACATCTCTGGTATCCACCAGACTTGGGCTAGGGCAGAGGAGAGAATAATTCAAACCTCCTCATCTAATCCCACCCTCTGCCTTGACGCAAAAGTTGCGTACATTTCCTGACGGGCTGATGGGGAAAAGCCGGGGACCAAAGAAATGGTGAAAATACAATTCTGTGTCCAAGGCAGCCGCCTACCAGCTCCACCTGGTACACAGGCTGAGACCCTACCTGCCCGTGGACTGTCTCGCCAGAGTGGTGCATGCTCTAGTTATCTCCCGCTTGGACTACTGCAATGCGCTCTACGTGGGGCTACCTTTGAAGGTGACCCGGAAACTACAACTAATCCAGAATGCGGCAGACTGGTGACTGGGAGTGGCCGCCCAGACCACATAACACCGGTGCTGAAAGATCTACATTGGCTCCCAGTACATTTCCAAGCACAATTCAAAGTATTGGTGCTGACCTTTAAGGCCCTAAATGGCCTCAACCCTGTACAGTGGTACCTCGGGTTAAGTACCTAATTTGTTCTGGAGGTCTGTTTTTAACCTGAAACTGTTCTTAACCTGAAGCACCACTTTAGCTAAAGGGGCCTCCTGCTGCCGCTGCACAATTTCTGTTCTCATCCTGAAGCAAAGTTCTTAACCCGAGGTACTATTTCTGGGTTAGCGGAGTCTGTAACCTGAAGCGCATGTAACCTGAAGCGTATGTAACCCGAGGTACCACTGTATACCTGAAGGAACGTCTCTGCTCCCATCATTCAGCCCAGACACTGAGGTCCAGCTCCAAGGGCCTTCTGGTGGTTTCCTCACTGCGAGAAGTGAGCTTACAGGGAACCAGGCAGAGGGCCTTCTCGGTAGTGGCACCCGCCCTGTGGAATGCCCTCCCATCAAATGTCAAGGAAATAAACAATCTGAGTTTTAGAAAGCATCCAAAGACAGCCCTGTTTAGGTAAGTTCTTAATGTTAGGTGTTTTATTGTGTTTTTAATATTCTGTTGGGAGTTGCCCAGAGTGGCTGGGGAAACCCAGCCAGATGGGTGGGGTATAAATAAAATATTATTATTATTATTATTATTATTATTATTATTATTATTATTATTATTATTTCTGAACTCACAGTGAACTATTGCTTAGGCCTGTCTACCAGCAACTTTGACCTGTCTACCAGTAACTTTGGGTGGGGTAGAAGAAAAGGTTTGTTTAACTACACAGGAAGCTGCTTTATACTGAGTCACATAGTACATATAGAACCATAGAACCTGGCTCAGAAGGTTCTTGCATTGCTTTTCCTAGGTTTCAGGCAGAGGACACCCCCAGCCCTTCGTAGAGAAGCTGGGGATTAAACCTGGGGCCTTCTGCATGCAAACCAAGATGCTCTACCATGGCCTCCAACCACAGAGCAATATATCGTTGTCTGTTTTCTGATGGCATGGATAGGAAAAAGTTGTAGCATGCGCAACACCTCCCATGTCCCAGCTGCACTTTTGCAAAAAAGGGGGTGTATTTTAGATCTGCCTGACATTATAAAGGCCAAACTAGCTTATCTGACATATTCTTTCTAAGCCATGAAGGATAGGTAAAGGTAAAGTGACCCCTGACCATTAGGTCCAGTCGTGGCCGACTCTGGGGTTGCGGTGCTCATCTCGCTTTATTGGCCGGCGTACAGCTTCCGGGTCATGTGGCCAGCATGACTAAGCCACTTCTGGCGAACCAGAGCAGCACACGGAAACGCCGTTTACCTTCCCGCTGGAGCGGTATCTATTTATCTACTTGCACTTTGATGTGCTTTCGAACTGCTAGGTTGGCACCGAGCAATGGGAGCTCACCCCGTCGCGGGGAGTCGAACCACCGACCTTCTGATTGGCAAGTCCTAGGCTCAGTGGTTTAACCCACAGAGCCACCTGCGTCCCTAAGCCATGAAGGATATAAACAAGTAAATAACCACTGCAGGCTTTTATCAAAATGCCCATTCTTTGGTGCATATGAACTTCAAACCCGTCCCAGTCCAGAAAACAAATGAAGCAGCCTGTTGTTTCCAAAGAGAAACATTGCTGAAATTGCATGTAGTTGGAACATGTGGAGGGAGACCTTTTATGGGGAATATGCAAAGAGCTGCACATGCAGTATCCCCCAGAAATTGCCTTTTGCCCCGTCTCCCCCAAGAGGCATCTTGTACAGGGCACAGCTGGTTCCAGATGTGCTCACAAAAGCTCACGTTAGCACATTTGCAGGATCAGTTTTCCCTTTAGAGGTGCAGAGCTTCTGATTATTATTCTATTCCTTCCCAGGCGCCTGACAGAGGGAGATTCAGGAGGGGAAAATGGGGAGGAAAAATCAGAGAGGGCTGGAAGGAAGAGCTTGTGGGAACTGGAGGGCTGGAAGGAAGAGCCAAGGGTGTGTGCATGAAAACAAAGAGGAGGGGGAAGAAGGGATTCAGAAAAGAGTAGGTCTGCAGAGATGGAGAATGGAGGATGAGAAGCAGAAGGGGAAATTGATGCATAGGCCGAAGGTCCTTGATTCATGCAATAGCACTCAAGACACGTGAAAAATGGTAACTGGGCCAGGATCACACCCAAGGCCTAGATCTGAGCTGCCAGCCCTCTTATAACTCAGCACACAGCAGCATTAAACAACCCGACCCTTTTCTTGCAAATAAGGAAAAGCAATGTGCTATCCAAAAGTAAGAGCCTTATTTTTGTGTTGCATTTCTCTGTTCCACCCTTCCGCTTAGCTCACAGCAACTGTTCAGCCTCACAACAACCCTGGATGGTAGATTAAGCTAAGAGAGGGAGAGAGGGAGATATTGAAAAGGCCACCCAGCGGGGACCCAAACCTGCTTTCCCTACACCTAAGCCAAACATTGTAGCCAATGCACCACGTCTTCCTAACCCTCTGAATTCACAGTGACATGCCGGGGGGGGGACGACCGATTAGCTGCTCAGAATCTCTTCCAGGGTTGAAGAAAGGCAACAGAACGAAGGAAAAGGAGGAGAGGAAATCCACCCACAAATTGGATTTTAAAAACACAGTGTGGAATGGCTAGTGTTGAAGGCCAGGAAAGGGGCTTGAATAAATGGCAGTGGAACCCTCAGCACACTTACTAGGGAGTAAACAGAACAAGGCTTGTTTCTGAGCAAACATGCTTGGAATTGCATTGTAAATAATAATAATAAATCACGCACACACCACGACACACAAGCATGTCAGCAGTCAAAGGCCTATAGACTAGCATAAAGAATAACAGGAAAGGGAAATAAAGGAAAGGGAAAAAACACAAAGTAGGAAGGCAATTCAAAATACTGTCCACATCTCAGGTATGGGCATAGTTTTAGGATTATACTAATGAGGTCGATGAAAGGAGAATTTCCAAATATTCTCTTTACTGCAGAAATTATGATAAAATACTGGTTTGAATGTTCAAACCTGCAGGGCTATGCATGGGGACTCCCAAATATGCAAAAAAAGAAAACGAAAACATGTCCCTGTCCCTGGGCTCTGCTACACCACAATAATTAGAGGCCGGGAACGACCGTTTCTTTTATCTCCCACTAGGCAAATTTCCTTCGTGTTTCCCATTCTGATCCGACGTGCGGGAAATCCTGCGGCCAGTGAGAGCAGAAAGGAAGAAAAAAGGAGGAAGAGATATTTTGCAGGGCCAAAAGGGCAAGTGAGATAATAATGGTGATGTTGATGGTCATGGGAAATCTCCAGCGAGCGACAATGCAGCAGCAGCAGCAGCCCAGATCCAAGGCAAGGAAAAAGAAGGAAGGAGGAATGATGGAAAGATGAGTGTCAAGAGAAAGTGTCGCCGCTGAATTTAAGGGCCTGCATTATCCCTCATTCGTGATTTTGATTCCCCCCCCCCTGTAAACAGCACTG